GCCGCGCCGGCCGGGGTGGGGCTGCGCCTCCGGGTCTCCCCCGGGACGCACGGCCCTGGGAGCCGGGAACGAGGAAGAGGCGGGAGGCGGAAGTGGAGGAGGGGCGGCGGCGGGCACGGCCGCTCCGCTCTCGCCCTGCGGCCGCAGGCAGCCCCTTCCAGCGCGACTGCTCGGACTTGCGGGGCGAGCAAAAAGTTACCCGCACGCATCCTTCCTCCCAGCGACCAGCCGCGCTCCTCTGCACAGCACCTCGCCGCCGACGCGCGCGCGGCTCTGCGCCCAATGCGATGCACTTGCTGCGCCCCCGCCCAGCGCGGCTTCGCGGCGGGCACACGCGTCGGCTCTCTGCCCACGCACACTTGATGCTCCCGGGCTCCCGGGCAGCGCCCACGCAGCGACTGCGCGCACGCAGCCGCTCCCTGACTGCCGGTACCCTTGCCGCGGCCGCGCTCGCCGAGCTTAAGTGCGCACTTCTGTAGAAGGTGCAGCTGGGGACGGGCGGGCAGAGCGGCCGGAGGGGAGCGGCACTGGCCCGGCGAGGCAGGTGCATTGCGGTGCACGGCCCCCTAACGCTGGAACTCACCCTGCCCCCCTGAGTCCTGCCTCCGGGGCTAGACAGAGCCGCCACCCAACCCACCGGTGCATTGGGCGGAGTGGGCTCAGGACCAGGGGGGTCAGTGCTGCAGGGTGAGCCGCTGCGCTTCGCCTCTTGACGCCGGCTCGGAGCCAGCATTTCCACGATCCTAAGAGGGGTGCTAGACGTCCGGCCTACCGAGTAGCAGGGCGAGGCCGAAACTGCGGGCCCAGGGAACATATTTGTCCTTTTTGCAGCCCCGTGGACGCAGACCGGTACGAGAAGTGTCCAATCTAGTAGCTCCTGGGTCTAGACTACACGCTCATTCTCGTCCCTTTCACTTTCCACCCCACTCCGTGTCATCTGAGCTCTGGAAGCATGAGACGGGCCGGCGGCTTGTGTGTGTGTGTGTGTGTGTGTGTGTGTGTGTGTGTGTGTGTAGGGGTGCGGGTCAAAGATGCTTCTGCGTTGGAGTCACTTGGTAATTCACTCAACAAACATCCGCAAGCTAGCCAGGAACTAGGCGTCATCCTTGGCACCTCCCTTTCCCTCGCCGCCCACGTTAAAATACACCTCCGTTTCCTGTAAAGCCTCTGTCCCTAAGTAGTATCTCCCCAATCCACCATTCCTCCTCATTTCACCATCCTCTCTTGGGTTCCGACTGTAGTAGCTTCTGTCGGGTTTTCCTGCGCTCCTTGTGGTCCTACTACACTCCACTCCCCACAGTGCAGCTAGTTGTCATTTCTCAAGTCTGATGTGCCCCCCTGCTCAAATCCTGCCACAGAGTGAAATCCAGGCGCTGCTGCTGGATCTGAGCGAAGAATCTTGAATTCAATCCACAGAGAAGAGGGGGAAGGGCGTGTGTGCAAAGGGCTGCATACAAGTGTGAAAATTCTGGTCACGTCCAGGTTTTCCTGTCAGGAAACAGCACTGTACAAATACCGAAGGCACTTGCTCTTCTATTAGTGAGATGGCACAAACCGGTAAGCTAAATACAACAAGCAGCTTCCCCTCCAGTTTACAAGCATGGACAGGAGCTTGTGGGAGGCGAGTGAGGTGCTTAGGACCATCTGGGGCTGTAAACAGCCTTGCAGTCTGAGCCACCGGGGCAAACACTTCTCTGATCCTGATTTCCTTGCCTAGGAACTAGGAATCATTAATCTCTACCTCTGATGAGATATGCAAAATGCTTAGTGCAGGACCTGCGCACTTTGAGGATGCTCAGCAGTTGCCTGTTTTGATTGTAATGGGTTCTGGGAAAGGGAAGGAACTGCTCTCTGCCGCAAATTTCTGAGATTATAGGAAAGGAGCCCTAATTATTAACACTTCTACTGAGCTTATTATGTGCCAGTTACTATTGTAAGTGCTTTGCATATATTAACTTTTTTGCTCTTCTAAACACTCCTATGAGGTAAGTGCTGTTATTTCCACTTCACAGATTAGAAACTGAGAGGTAAAGGAACTTGTCCGAGGTCCTGCAGCTAGTTGGCGGCAGAGTTCGGATTTGAACCCTCGAAGGCTTCCTCCGGAGACTGCTTGTAACCACGACTCCCAGACTGTTCCCCCTTTACTCTGTTCTAATTTTCATCTCTCAGGGACTATTTTAGTAATTTTGACTATTGTTTCTCATTAGTATAGGGGCAGGTATTTGGGTCCCCCTGCTTTTTTTTTCTTTTTTTCTTTTTTCTTTCTTTACTGGAAATTGGATCCAAGGCCTTCACATTGAGCTACTGCCTTTTTATTTATTTACTTTTTTATTTTGAGACAGGGTTTTGCTAAGTCACTCAACTGCCGAGGTTGGGCTCAAAATGTCCATCTCCTGTCTCCGACTCTTAGTGCTGGGGTTACAGGTGTGGGTCACCAGGCCCAGCTCTGGTCCCGCTTTGTAGCACAGAAGAATGAGGCCAAATCAGGAGCAGAGTAGATGGATCTCAGCTCCTGAAGTCACCTCCCCCATTTTCAGGTTTATCACTGCAAACAGGACTCCACAGATTATTTTGAACCTCTCTCTGTCCCTTCTCTTTGCCTGATATTAGCCACAAGAATGTTTGGGGGCCCCAGATGATGTGGTACATGCCTATAATTCCAGTGCTCAGGAGGCTGAGGCAAAAGGATTTCCATGAGTTTAGGGCAGCTTGGGTACATAATGAGTTCTAGGCCAGGCTGAACTACTTAGCAAGCCCCTGTATCAAAAAGAAATAATGGTGGTGGTGGCGGGGAGTCCAAGATGGAAATAATTTAGAGGCCTAAACAGTAAGGATGTTACCCAAGAAAGAGACTCAGGCAGCAGTCTGGAATGGGATGGACAAAGGAGTTGAAAAGAGCAGTGAAAAAGTTAATGGCCTGATACGTCTCTCCTCCAGGTAGGATGCAGAAAACTGGGGAAAGTGTATCTCTGACACTAATAACAACTTCTTCTCTTTTGTTTTTTGAGACAGGGTCTTGCTGTATAGTTCAGGCTGGGCTTGAACTCACTATGTGTGGCCCAGGCTGGCCTCATATTCATAGCAGTCCTCCTGCCTCAGCCTCCCAAGTGCTGGGATTATAAGTGTGCGCCAGTTTTTAAAAGTTGTTGGATAATATACAAAATCATAACTTTTGTCAAGCCTATCAGAGAGCTGAGGTTGCAGCTGAATTCCAAAGAAGGACAGGAGCCTCCACTAAGAGAAGGGATTAGGCACGGGCTCACTTGAGAAGTGGAACAAATATGAATTGTCCGTGCAAGATGGTAAGAAGAGTTTAGCTGCAATTTGTATTAAATTGCTAGAGGCCCATTGCTATGGTTTAGATCTATAATGGCCCCCAAAGCCTCCTCTATTTGGAAAGTGATTGGGTTTGGGGGGCATTACAGCTGACTTGTGGTTAGGAAAAGTTGGCCACTGGGGGTGTGGCCTGGGAGAGTCAGTCTCCCTCCCCTCTCCTCCTTTCTCCCTGTGCCTCCCAGCCGCCATCAGATCAGCAGCCTTCCTGCTTGCAAAGTTAGTCCTTCCACTGGTCCTTCCTGCCTTGGAGCCAGCCAGCTACTGACTCAAAAAGCAGCCAAAGTAAACCTCTCTTCTAAGTTACAGGTGTCAGGTGTTTTGTCCCAGTGGTGAGAAAAGTGGCTGTAACACCTGTTGTGGCTAACGTGAGAGTGTGAATTCTGTGAGAGCCACAGGCAACAAAAAGATAGAAGCCACAGAGCTCAGACCTAATTCAGGGCCTCACAAGATTGGATGCCGCACACTGATGACCTAACAGGAAGAGAGATGAGTGTATAGATAATATCATACTCAGCCCCTGCTGTTCTGTACACCATGTCTAGAAACCAGTCAAAAATAATATTACCATTATTAGAAATCAAACTATATACTTATAATTAAAGAACAAAGTCATAACACACATATAAAAAACAAAAAAAACCCTCCTTCTGTTGAGAGACAAAGCAATCAGCTAGACCAAGGCCCAAACACTGCAGTTATCTGACAAGGGAATTTAAAACGACTATAACGTGTGAAAAGCTCTTGTGGAAAGTGTAAACGATATAAATGAACAGAAGAAGAATCTTAGCAGAAATGGAGACTATAAAAAGTCATATGGCAACACTATAAATAAGCAACCATTGCAAATACTGTACGAAGAACACCTTTGACAGGTTCACCCATAATCGCAACACAGTTGAGGAAGGAACCTGTGGACCTGGCTCAGGGTGGTGGCGCACATCATTAATCCCAGCTACTGTAAAGGCTGAAGCAGGAGAAGTGAAAGTTCAACCCTAGCCCTGGCACTATGAAGTGACTCTGTTTCAAAATAAAATAATAGTTTAAAAAAATCTGGGCTGGGCGTGGTAGCTCATGCCTGTAATAGTTGGGAGGCTGACCCAGGAAGATTGCCACGAGTATAAGTTTGAGGCCGGCCCAGGCTACGTAGTGAGTTCAAGGCCAGCCTGAACTGCACAGCAAAACCCTGTCTCAAAAAAACAAAAATAAATGAATAAATTATAAAATAATAATAAAAGAGCTGGCAATGTAGCTCAATAGTAGTATACCTGCTTAGCATGCATCAGGTCCTGTGTTCAATCTTCAGTGCCACAGCAGGCAAAAAAATAAGAGAAGGAATGACAAACTTAAGACAGAGCAACAGAGACTACTCAAGCTGAAACAGAAAAAGAGTGAAACAACCAAGCAAAAAAACTAATGCAGGGGCTGGGGATTTAGCTCAGCGGCACAGCGCCTGCCTGGCAAACACAAGGTCCTGAGTTCGATTCCCGGTACCGGAAAAGAAAACCAACAACAACAACAACAACAACAACAGCAACAAAAATTATTCAAAGAGCTAACATATGAGTAATTCAGATTAAGGAAGAAAAGACAAGCTGGGCGTAGTGGCACACACCTGTAATCTCAGCAATCAGGAGGCTGAGGCAGGAGGATTGTTGGGAGTTCGAGGCCAGCCTGGGCTACAAAGTGAGCTCAAGGCCAGCCTGAACTGCATAGTGACACCCTGTCTCAAAAAGACACACACACACACACACACACACACACACACACACACAAAAGACAGAGAAATGTGTAAGTTATATGTAGATATAATACCCAACAACTATCCAAAAATAATGAAACATATCAAACCAAAGAGCTAGGAAACAATCCAAAAATATTAAATACCAAGACAGAGACAGGTAACATATAAGTACATAAAAAATACAACCTGATATACTCAAAATGTTGAAAACCAAAGATAGAAAACCTTAGAAATCTAGAGGAAAAAGACACCCTATCTACAGAAGAACAAAGATAGGAATTGCAGATTTCTCATTAGAAATTCCATGACCAGGACATAACAGACTGATTGCTTTAAAATGCTACAAGAAACTACCAACGCAGAAATCTATAGCTAGTGAGAATATCTGTCAGACATTAGGAGACAGAAACACTCTTTCAGATAAACAACAATTGAGAATATTCATTACTAGCAGAACAGCACTACAA